AGCTTGGGCCCAGAGAAGGTGGCAGTGGATTCAGTGATGAACTGTTCGTGGTGATCAGACAAGAGCTGTTCCTGAGCCCATGTTGTGATTTCCACTACAGAATTGTATCTGTTTTAATGCAGTGCCATCTAAAGATCACGGCCAGCCAATATTAGTTGTCAGCCTGTCAGCACACAGAGATTTCTCTAAATTCTCTATATCCTTTAATAAGATTATGTACTGTAGATGGTGAAATCCCTAAGTTCTTTGCTATTTTATGTTGAGAAACATTATTTTCAAATTGTCTTTCACTGTGGTGAGCCCCTCCCCATCTTTACTGACTCGCTGGGATGCTCTTTTCATCTCCAGTCATGTTATTGACATAATTAGTTGTGAGATGTTCCACCAGGTGTTTTTTTAGAATTACATATTTCAAAAACAAGAACTTTTCTTAACTTGTCAACATTTTATATGTATGTTTAGCACATCATTCTATTCTGTTTTTATTTACATTTTGCACAGCGTCTCAACCTTTTTGGAAACGAGGTTGCAGTACCCAGTAATGACTATAAATCGTTTGGTAGCTACTGTGAAGCTAGTTATATAGTGTGAGTGAGAAACAGAAGTGTGGGTCCACATAGAAGCCCTTAGTGGTTTTAACAATGTTGTCATTATCAGTAAAAAGAATGTAGTAGATAATATAATATTGCAATATAATACTGTGCATTGTCAGAGACTACTTTTTCATTTATTTAATTTTCAGTCAAAACAACCATTACACACTATTCATTTTTTAGCATCAAGAAAAAATTGTGAAAACATATTTAACAAAAACTGACACAAAAAATGGACATAATTTCACATTTTCCAGTATTTAGCCTGTCCACCCTTTGCCGTTACTAACATTTCTATTCTTTTCAGGAGACTTGATTTTAGTTTTGTCAAACAAATCCGCAGTGATATTTGCCCTCACCTCCAAAGTTCAGTCTTAGAGGTTTGTTGAATTATCTGCTTTTTACAATCCAAGTAATCCCAAACTCACTCATTTTGGAGCTTGATTTGCTCCTATCTCTTTAAATACTGTTTATCAGATTGTGACAGTTTTGGTGGTCTTTCACAGTTGTCAGGATTCCCATTTTCTCTATATCTTTTAAAAGATTTTTAATGATTAGTTTTGGAAATTCCTGTTTTTTTTTTTATTTTCTTTTGACTTTCCCTTCATTATGTATCTTATATCTGATCTCTTTTGAAATATCCTTTTTTTTAAATAGAACTTCTGCACAGGACTGTATATCCAGCTTTTACGATGTGATTCACTTTTGCTTAGTATTCACATATCAGTGGAAAATACCAGTGTGTGTAATGAATACTTTTTAAACATTGATAGTTGATTCTTTTGACACGCAGCGTTCCCAAAGAGAGTTGTTAAAGACCAGTACCTCTGGAACGCAGAGCTCTGTGTGTGTGTATGCTCAGACATGCGTCAGTATCTCCCCTGTCCTGTACTGCGGCCCGCAATAACAAAGGTCCCGGTTTTAAAGTGACGCCTTTATGATTTATCAAATAAATCTGATGCCTTCATGTCGTGGCCCAGGCCGCACAGTAGTTTTCCAGTGGAATAACAAAGCCGAACAAGCGTCTCATTGTGGGCAGAGCTTGGAGGAGCACAGGACCCCCAAGGTGCGAATTAATGATGGCGGCCCGGTGTAATCAGGATAAATAGTTCAGTATGAGCGAGAGAGAAAACATGGAGAGGCACAGAGGAAGGCACTATCTGTCTCCCCGCCAACCCAAAATGCTTCTGTGCTAATGTTGCTAGTCCATACAGAAACCCCTATCAAAGCAACCCAGCCCCTGAGTTCAAAATGTCAGCTTTATTTTCTCCCCTTCTTAAAATGTTGCATTTCTTTTTCTTTTTAGCTCAGAAGTTCAATTCGGTTTTATTCATATAGGAGGTTTTTTTCTACAACAGATATGATCCAAAAGAAGCTTTGCAGATATGCGTGTGCAGAGCCCTAATTAGTTCGACAAGGGTGACGATGGCAAGAAAAACTCCCCAAGAGGATGAGGGAGAAATCTCAAATCGTAATCACGATCACTTTTTTGGTATAGTAGTTTGTCTTAGTGTGTTTGGTGCTTAAATAAATCAAAAATACAGAATCTCAATAGTAAAGAAATAATACTAATAAATACAATATACATTCATTAAAGGTATTTCAAAATATACACATTCATAGTATGTTAGTAAATAACTGGGTATTTACAACAATATAGATCAGATGAGATATTATTGAAAGAGGTGCAAAGGATCCAAGATTGACAAGGGGAACCCATCTTAAGATATTATAAGTTTGCACAAGTTTACAAGGAACATTAAACCGAGGCACTCGGATCAGTAACAGGAAAGATCTAAAATAACTTGACTTAATTAATATTTTTCAGTTTTTATGTTTTGCAGAATTTGAAAACTGCCCTTTATGATGAATATGATGATGAATAGATGAAAACGGGCCAAAAATAATAAATGTCGCCCATTACTGTACATTCAATTTAAAAACCTCTTTTTCCTTTTCCTGTACGTTTACCATTTCAGAAATGTAAGATTTTGTTACAATAGTATACAGAGTCTCAGAAATTAACGAATGAATAAATGTTGTGGAGACAACATAATCACAGTAGCTTATAAGAACATTTACATCACTTTTATTTTTATTCTGTTCTCAGTGGTGTGAAATCATGAAATTATAAACAGGCAAATCTTAGACACATGTTCTTAATACTCTGGGTTAATACATTGGGTTCTTCAGCTTTGCACTGTTGACTGGTGCTCCGTCTAGCACAATGTTTTGCACATTACAGTCAGGTCTCTTGAATATACGTAATTTACATAGCTCACTTTCAGTGGAGTTATATGTGTGTGTGTGTTTCTGCAGGCCACTTTAACTGGAGTATTTAATAGATTTTCCAACCCTGTCTTTGCTTGTTGAAAATTGTACTCAACGGGTCAGATGCCAAAAAGAAGGAAGGGGGGGAGCAAAAGTTTTAATGGTTTTGAAAACACTTTTGATTCTTGCAAACAGCACCAGATAGGCTGTGGCTGTAAAACTTTAATTGATCTGTGAAAAGGGGATGTTACTACTGGGCCACATGTTCTTCAGTTAATTGCCTGGCTGGTGTGAGACTCCAATGAAGTCTGATCATTAAAGAAATTGGTAAAACGTTTCTTTGCCCTCAAAATCACAGGATGACGCAAGATCTGTTTTAAAAGCATTTGCATTTCTTTTTTTTTAACTAGCCTAGTTTTTTACAATATAAATTTCCTGGATCTCTCAGGATCATTGAGTTTGAGAGGCTTTGTCACCAGTGTTCATATTTCGCGATTTCATCTACAGTTACATGTCAGTTAATTTCCTGACTGTTACATTTTTACAAGCAAATATCCTCAAGAAACTGTAGAACTATTTGGTCTAATAGGACATGTATCTTTGCCTATTGGGTTCTATCAACTCATTTTACTGAGTTTTCCCAGAGCGTAGTTTGGAAAAAGTAAATTCTCGCCCGTCTCACTGTACATGCGTCATGCTGCTTTCCTCTTGTTTACAGCAGCATTTGTCTGTATGTGAAATTGACCAGAAAAGCTTTCGAAGTGCAAATCGTTCACGTAACTGATTCACCTTAGTCATGCTCGGGAATGACTGCATTTTTTTTCACAGCTCAGTTTATGTTGCTTACAAGTAAATGGCATTTCAATTTGAAAGGAAACAGTTTGGAGCCATAAAGTTGTGTTCTTGGCAGTGCTCACAGGGGGCTGAGTCTGGCTGATTGGAAGCACTCCTGGCGTAATTGCGGCCTAGTTAGCCCTGATTGCTGGTCCTGTGTTTGGATAGCAAACTGCAGTGGTGCTTCTACAAATTACACTGAGTCCATGCGTGTGCGGTGGCATGGTTGTTGTCATGGAGACCAGGGAAAGTGTCGATTGCATTGCATGCCCCCGCCCCCCGCCCGTTCCACAATGATAGTAATGCAGCCATTGCATGTAAGATGATGCAACACTCTGCTTATACTCTTCAGTTTTAAATCTTTTAATCACCGAGTTGCTTCACATTCCTTCTCAAAAATGCCTCATGTTCTATTTTTTCAGTACTGATCACAGCAGGACAGGTCGAGATGGAACCTCTTGGATATCAGAAGCATCTGCTCAGCTCCTGCTTGTAGTCATCAGCCTCTTACCATCCTTAACCACAGTGGCTAAGCACCACAATTACTCTGTCAGGCGTGGAATGACAATAAACATAGGTGACTATGGGAGAGGCTGAGGATGGCTGGCGGTGGCGTCAGACCGCAGGGTCATTGGGTCTTATTATCTGTAAGATGATCAGACGGGAAATGGTAGAGGCTGTGAGTGAATGGAACAAACCCAGCAGCAGTCTCGTTATAAGATGGAACAGTCTGGAATGGTAACTGAGAGTCAGTTCAAAGGGCTCAGGTTTTCCATCTTCAGGGGTTGGCGAAGACCAATCAAGATATGATCCTACAAGCGTCTAATGATCTGAGTGAACAAGTGGTCTTGGAAGTGTAAAGTGACAGATTTTTGGTGTGTTAACATTTTTCTCGAAGTTATGTGAAGGAATGAAAGTGACTTCAGTTTTTATCTCTGATGATGATTAATGCTGTTGTTAGAAGGGTTTAGGTATGCAAAGTATACCATATCCAAAGATGTTGAAAATACAAACATTGATGCTAACTTGATACAGGTTAGAAGCAGATACTTTCAAAACTTTTCCATTTGTTATTCATGTCAAAAAAATAATGAAAAACGAGATTGGACACACAATTTTTAAATCAAGTTAACCAATGAAATTTTATGCAAAGTAACTTATATAAAATTGCACCATGCTTTTTGTTATTGCTGGCAATAACTACAACTTTTAAGAGGTGATTTAATGCAGTAAAGTTTAAAACATTGTCACTATTATTATTACTCTGTAGATATCCTGACTCTTCTTGTTTTATTGTTTTAGATGACAGCGAGGCAGTAGAAAGCATGTATGACACAGAGCTCAACCCTGCGGCTGGCGAGAGTGCTGAAGAGGAGACAGAAGACAGCATCATGTCACCTATTGCCATGGGGCCTGCCTCCCCCCAGCCCAACAATGAGGACTTCACCCCTAAAGAGGGCTCGCCCTATGAGGTGCCTGTCTACATTCCCGATGACATTCCTATCCCCTCCAACCTGGAGCTGCGTGAGTCCTCTGTCCCAGGAGCTGGCCTAGGAATCTGGGCCAAAACCAAAATTGGGATGGGTGAACGTTTTGGACCATACAACGGACTGCAGAGTGCCACCGTCAAAGAAACCACTTATGGATGGGAGGTAGGAACAAGACAGTACACTACTAATTAGGACTTGGAGTTACCGTTTAAAAGAATCACTGTTTTCGATAAAATAATAAAGACTTTGGTTGCAGATAAATGTATAAAAGAATTCTATGATGATGTTAGCACTCAAAAACCTAACAAATTTAAAATAATTTGAAAGAACACTAAAAAAGATTTTACTAAGAAATAATAGATGTATCCAGAATGATGCACAGAGCCATAGGTCAAGGCTAGCGTATTAGCTCATGGTTAGTGTTTTAAGGTAAAGTAACATATTAGCTCAAGGCTAACATATTAGCTTGTGGCTCACATGTTAGCTAAAGGCTAACGCTGTAGCTTGTGACTTGTGCCTGCAAGGGAATGTTCATTCATTAGACACATCACTTGATTTTGTTTGATTTGATTTTGTTACATTATAAAGCTTAACTTTTGTGCAGTGCATACACATGCTGCTAAGAAACCAGTCTATGCAATGTCAATTTCTCAGTTAAAAAATGCATAGATATGCTAGGTGGTTAAATGGTTTTTAACATCGTGACGTGTGATACCAAGAGTATACTGAAAAGCACAGAGGACATATCTACTTACAAGTTGTGATTACCAAATTAATCTACAGTCTAAGAATAAAAACATGCCATACAAATTGCATACAGTGATATAATAGTACAGTGATTTAATACTATAATAAAAGAGAAAGGTTTAGGTAGCTATTATACAGCAGTTGTGTTTGTATTAGTAAGGGCATCTATTGCAAGCAGTGAATCCATAGCCTAAGCATAAAAACGCCGTACAGATGCCATATAAATCTTATACAATAACACATTGAATAAAGCCACACAATGTAATAATGATCCTAAAAATAATAGGTTTCAGTTTAACGCTTCTGTTTCCGAACAGTTAAGGATTAAGCTTTCACTGGTGTTTTCCTATCAAAATATAGTTCATTTTCTTTTTTCTTTTCCTCAAAGCTGTTCGGAGCTCTTTGTTCTAAAGACTCAAACATTACACTTTTAGAATGTTGAATGCTCTAATAAATTGAAAATGGTGAATTGTTAGACCTCTGATAGTTAGAGTTGGTGGTTTATCATGTAATAACTTCTTTTCATTCTCAAATGAAAATTTAAATATTATTTTTAAGTAAAATGGATACACAAGGTATTAACATACATGTGTGGGAGGCGGGGTGCTTCTGGACTAGAGGCTGAGGTAAGTGAATCCTGTTTTGATTAGCTCGTTCTCGGCTGTGATCGAGAGGGAGCTACAAAGTATAGTAAAGATACAACATATGCATATTCCTTGTGCATCACGGAGTCATGATTGCGCATTTGAACATCACTTTTTTTCTTTTTCAAACTATTCTTCAGTTTCACTTGATGGCTATTTTTAAAATCCTGATTACTGAAGATATCAGTTTTTCCCCCATTATGCATTCGAGTGCACTCATTTGGTCACGCTACATGATACTAGGAATGGAAGAAGCGTGGCATTTGTATGGAGCTGTATTGAACTATTCATTTTCATTTCAACATGACATTGAAGGTTATTGAAGTTGCCTGAGCAAGCTTGTTAGTGCCCGCTTGACCAAGACAGAACTAAGGCTCTCAAACTGTCTCTATTTGTCTCTCTAGCTCATACTCTTTCTCTCTTTCTCTCTCTCTCTCTCTCACACACACACACTCACACATACCCAGTGGACAGTATATACAGTATATCCATTACACTAATTATATACTAGGCTGGCAGGCCGTTTTAGTCATGTTCATGGGAACAAGCACATACTAACCTGAATTTTAAATCAAATTTGATAGAGCAAGAAAACTAGTTGTAGGAAATCCTCAGGGCCTTCTAGGATGATGATTTCTGGGAATTACATTTCTGTGATTTTGAGCTTATTTTTATTTAATAACATGCTTGTAAGATTTAAATTCTGCAAGTACTGTACAAACACTATCATTTATTATGTTTTGGTTAAAAACAAAAAGTTTAAGATCTTGAAAGGCTTAGCGGGAAATTATCCAATCATTTTTTTTTCCACCGTCGTGTCTATGTGTGTGTGTGTGTGTGTGTGTTAAATGCCAAAATGTTAAATGCCAAAAATGTTCATGTGCAACAGCAGAGATTAGCATTATTGTAAAGGTGTTGTTTTTTCTTGTTTTTGACCGAGTTTTGATATTAATGTCCTGAACTGAAGGCCTGGCTCTAATGGTCATGGTTCACTACTGGACACTACTGTGTTTTCGGTATGCTAGTAACTGTTCTGGTAAAATATTTCAGTAATACACACCATATTTTGGGAAGTGATACATGTAAAATAAATCCTTAAACCCAGTACATGAACGAAGCTGTCTGCACCACTGTTTTCTTCAGAGTATTCAGCACAGATTGTTCCTCTTCTCAAACATACTTAATTCCTTTCCTTCTCTTCCTCTCTGCTTCATTCATCCACTGAGATTATTCTCAGTGATACATATGACATTTTGCAGGCACACGCTGTGAGCAGCCTATTTTTTTATCATATTTTTTTCACTCAGTACAGCTTCATATTTTGACTAGACTCTTGACACGCCCAGGGCTTGACTCCAAAAGCTACACTCTCCCTCTTAGGCCGCATTGGCTTGGATTCGCCACTAATGGTGCTCATCAGAATCCGGCCTCAGGAAAAAGCCTGTCTGTGTGTCTGCCTGACACAATGCTCAGATTTCAGCCGCCAATTTATGCGCTCAAGTACTTTCGCTTTACTTTTTATAAGGAGCACTCTCAAGGCTCCACTTGACAGCGTAACGATTGACGAGGAGCACATCTACGAGATTCAGCCCATATACGCACACACACACTCATACAGATACACATATGCACACGCACGCCGCTCTCACACACTTGCTGAAGACCAGAGAGACATCTGTTGGACCATCTGTGACAAACCATCTATAAAAGTGATACTCGCTGGCAGCTGCCGGAAACTGGTTGAGGACAGTGTGTAAAATCCTGTCACTTCATTTTACGATTACTATTTAGTTTTAAATCCATGATTTTGCTTTTTTTATGGAAGCTGTGTGGTAGCCTCCTATAAAAGCTCATCTCTGTAATAGCTACAGTGGGTGTTTTAAGAAGTTACGCAAAAGAGAAATAAAAAACAGTCTCAGAAAAACCCGCCCATTAAAAAAAAGAAAAAGAAAAAGAAAAAAATCATGAAAAATCTCTAGGCTGCTTTCTGAAACATCCTGTCTGCCTCTGTTGCTGGCCATGGCCAGAGGGGCCAGAGCTCTTATCGGAGATAGTCATAACAGTCAGGCATGGATAGCCATCACCGGACTCCCAGAGGAGCTGGACCGGACTACGTCAGTGTGCTGCCCCTGCGCAAAGACAAATAGACAGTGTGGAGAGAGGAGTGGGCTAACAGCACAGGGTCAGAGGTGTTAATAGAACTGGATTACAGCAGAGCCACAGTGGGCCAAACACAGACAGATACTTGCACAGTTAGGAGTGCTGGTTTTAGATTGCAGTACAGGGAAAGTTATAGTTCAGAATTTAGGATATGATAAGTATAACTCTACATGTTTTTGATGTTTCTTTATATTTTCTTACCAGCTGATGCTAATGTGGGTCAACAACAGTGTAAATGTCAATGTCTATGTAAACCTTTTTTAAAAATTTAAGTGTAGCTAGGAAAAAAAGACATAACAGACAAGGCACAATATGGCTAGATTTCAGATTTAGCCCTTAGGGGTAGGAGTGGGCAATATGACAATATTTATCATTATTGTGATGAATTAAATGTCATGGTACATCACAATATTCTCTTCTCTGCACATTGTGGGTATTATCAGAACATAAAGAACACTGACCAGCTATAGATTGCATTATTAGGCCTGTTTAATTGGATTTAATGCTGTGCGTCATGTGAAATGCTGAAAAAATTTCATTGTGCTCCTAGTTTTTGATAGTAATTTTTTTGTCTGTTCCAACTCAGAATTTGATATTGTGATACCTGTCATTTATTGTGAAAATATTGTGAAGTATTATGATGTGATTTCCCCCCCCTACTTAGAAGTCTAGTTGTGGGAAAGGAAAAATATTGATGCCTTTGAACTCTGGTGCTGACAATGACTTTTAAGAGCACCTTGGACAGCAAAGAAAACAAACATGTATACTTGACCATATCAAGCCTCACTTCTCATGTGAAGCCCAGATAACCAAACTGAAGCTCTCTTATTTTGGACATATTACAAGAAGAAGCAATAAATTGGACAGTTATGCTTGTAACAATTTAAGGTAAAAGAAAAAGAGAATGGCCAGCAACAAGATTGATGAGGACAGTCAAAGGAACCGTGAACAAGCCATTATGAATCCTAAAGACCCAAACAGAAGACATTCTGGAGAAATACCATATGGTCACAGGGAGTTGAAATTGACTTGGCGACACAATAATAATAATAATAATAATAATAATAATAATAACAAATGGTTACATATTGAATAGTCATTTACATTCTATATCAACATGGTCAAGTTCTGACAGTTTCCTTTTTATTTAGTTGTTATGAAATGACAAAAACGTGGCAAAAGCATAAAAGATCTTTTTTTATTAAATTCAAATGAAAATAAATGTCCTCTTCTACAACTGTGGTATTGATTGAAAGTTAAGAATCCACGTTTTCCTCTGTTTGTTGAGTTATGAGATTTAATTTATATGAAATTTCCAGAGCTTGAAATATTTGTCCAAACCCAGTAAGACCTATTTGCTGATGTCGGGTTTGGACATCCTTTCTTAAATATGTGTCACGCCTGGGTTAGGTTCAGATTTCATGTTCGGGTTCACACAATCCGCCTTCCGCTCCTAACAGATTTAACACTGCACTTCACCCACTTTCGTTTTTCTCCTTATACTTCACTACTAATTACTAATTACTACCTTAAATTATTTTTTAATCTGACACATGTGAAAATGGGCCATAAACAATGAATCATTTTAAGAAAGTACAGTTTAGTACAGAC